TCCAGACCAATGAAAAAAAGAACGAAAGAGAGATACGGAAGGCAAAATCATTGTAGAAAGAGTTGATGTGTAACTTACGGGAAACAGGAATCACCTGTCCATTCGTCTCTGACGCGAGCCAGAGTGGTCCAGTAAATCGTCCTTGCTTCAGGGACACGAGGTCCAACATTCCTTTCGTTCAGAGCTTTCGTAAAGAAGTCTGACCACCTCACTAGCGGACGTCCTCGAGTTCGTCGGGTGTCCCGAGGGATCCAGCCAGTAACCGTCCTGGTCCAACGGCCATCACTGTATCGCATAACGTCTCCGGCCCACCTGATCTTCGATTTCTTGGCGTAAACAACGGCATCCCTGTCTTCGTTCAATGATGGAGCTCGGAACTCCGGATTCCCTTCTGCACTTGCGTATATAGGGGAACCAAGCATCGTCCTTTCCAAAGCGCGTTGAGTAACGCTGACAGCATGCTCATCTTGCTTTCGTGGAGTCCAAGTCTCTACTTCATACTTCAAAGCAGGAAGGACAGCAGTGTCGAAAAGATCAGCGCGGAGCCGGATGCTCTTTGGGTTCTTCACTTCTCCCTCGATATTCTTAGCATTTGATCGGCCTGCCCGATGTTCGGTGTCATAGGAACGATATCGTCTGTAAAGCGGAGGTGATGTAGGTAACGACCGTCGACCTTCACTCCCAAGTCTTCCCATTCCAAATGCTGCATGATATTTTCCAGAGCGGCGCTGGAAAGTTTGGGCGAAGTGGTATCGCCTTGCCGGACACCTCTCTTCACGTTGGTAATGAATTTCTTTGTAGAATGGTGAAATTCTGGTCATGAAATTGGCATACAGCTCACGAAGCATCCTTATATATTGTGTAGGAACACTCTGGTTGCCCAGAGTTTCAATTACCGCTTCTGTCTAAAAGGCTTTCTTCAAATCGATGAAAGTAAGACATAACGGCATTTTGTAATCTCGTAATTCTTCAACGAGTCTTGTAAGAGTGTGGATATGATCTATAGTATTGAACCCTCTCTGAATCCTGCTTGCTCGCATGGATGTGCTACATCCAACATTCTGTCTTCAGGATGACACGATGAAAAACGTGTAGATTACAGACAGCAGGCAGATTGGGCGATAATTACCAATATCGACTAGATCCCCCTTTTTATACAGCAACACAGTCCTGCTAGTTTTCCACGACGTGGGCATTCCGACAAGTGCCGCGTGAAGGGCCTAGCCAGAGTTCTGACGATGACTGGTGGAAGACTCTTCAGATGTTCTGGTTTGATCCTATCGGGGCCGGGCACCGCACAATTCTTCATCAAGATTGCATGTCGAATTTCGGAAGGGAGATCTGAAGGAGCGATGTATTCGTCTTGCCTGAAATGGCGGGTCGGCAGGTAGACGTGGCTGTCGAAAAAATGCGAGTGGAAATCGCAGATGACCTTCTCTAAATGCAGTAACTGTTCCGTCTCTCTCAGGAGGACGAAGGGAAGTCATCTTGGTTTTGTAATTGGCGAACTTCCGTTGGGCTTTCCGAATGCTTTTTCCGGCCTCGGCGGCTACGTCCATACCTGCTGCTCTTCTCTGTTTCAGATCTTCCTTTATCGCTTCTCTGCATAGCTTCGCAAGTTCGGACGTTAGCTGGTTATTGCTTGCAGCTCGCGCGACTCCACGCTGGCATAACAGCTGAGTCTTCGAAGAGAGTCGTCTCCTGGTTTCTTATAGAGTCACTGCTTTCCTAGCGCTTTCTTGAAGATGTTCGACGAGCCGCTTGTATTCTACATCGATGATGTCGATAACGGAATCTTCCCATTTACTCGCAAGGGAAGCGAAGTGGTCCCAGTTGATGGAGGTCTTGAGGCTTTGTTTCCCAAACTTCATAGCTCGCTCTCCACGCACTGAGAAATAGAATCTAGCGCCGGGGAGTTGATGGTCCGATCGACATGATAAGCTCGGACAGCCTTTCACCCTGCTCATTTCATTCCATTCCGTGAGTCCCGTTGTGGGTCTCTTTAGCCGTTCTTCTGGGGTCAATCTTGGCTTAAAATCACCGACAGTGACCTTGCAAAAAGTGTGGTCTTCTCTATAGAGCCTCTTCAGATCCATATAGAAACGCCTCTAACTCCTTTTCTTCGTAACTTGATGTTGGTGCGTAGGCAACGAAGATGGTTAGAACTGGGTTTGAGCCACATCTTCTTAATAACAAACGTCCGATTCGAGTTGTTAAGGCTTCGTACGAATCGATGTTCATGGCCAAGTGCGTGTGGACGAGGACACCTACGCTCCGACGCCTTTGCTGTCGCATGTTCCAAGGAACAGTTCTGCAGCCTCAAATACAGCGTGCAGCGGGCGATGCCTTCTCGTCTCGGGCAGTCCGATGACGCCGTACTTGATCTTCCTCGTTTGCATCATCAGGTCTTCTATACACGCTTCCGAAGCAAGCGTCCATGCCTTGAACGTACAGATTGCCATCGTAATCTTCTCCTTTTGGGCCTGTTTTGACCCTAAAGTTTTAGCAGCCTCTCCCGAGCAGTCCAACCCAACGCTGCCGTATTGGGGGCTCCCTCAGTTTCAGGAGAATTAGGCCCATTTCTATTACTGTTTTCGGCGTGTAGATACGCTCTGACGTGCAACTTGCCAGGCTCTAACATGGGGCTAGGTTGACTCCGGTGGCTTGCCAGGCTATCCCAGAGTGGACGAGGGGCTGTGTTTTTGGAGGCGGCCNCAAATCGCCTCCCAGATACTTCCCAGTCACTCAAATGCAAGCTTTTGGCTGAGTCGATGGGCAGCATAACAACTGCACCCACAGTCTCTCCACACACGTCTCTGAGCAAGTACCGGTGACTTTAGGTCGGCGATTAATTTCCCTATCCGCCACCTGGGGACGGCCTACGCAGCCTCGTCACTAGCCGGCTGGGGATTCTTCAGTGAGAGAGAACTCACAGTGAAGGAGATCCGTAGGGGGAATAGGAGTAGAAGGTGATGTGAACTCACATTACATTAGAACGGGCAACAGCATTCAAGCCCAGCAATAGGAAAGGAATGAGGGAAAATGTCAGAAATCAAGCACTGAGTGCTGGGTTATTTCGAGCCATATGCAAAATTTTTTTTTACATAATAACAGATTAGACATGTACATAAGTCTTGTGCAATGAAAGGATCTACATGGATATTGGCTTGAGAAAAAAGCCATGAGAAATGACAAATACAACGCGATGCATGACAATAGAGCCTCTCGGAGTTGAAGGGATTCCTGCTCAAGAAGGCATTGTCGATTCATCAAGAATAAGTTGCCAAAATATCAACATACAACTTCCCATAACTTCACATAGGGTTGTTGGATAATAGGCCGACTAACCAGCAAAGGCAACTCGCTTGCTTTCCGTATTTTGATTTTTCCAGTCTCTTGAAAAGTGTGGATACGGTTCTTACAAGATATATGTATCATTGCTATCTCCTCACCTCATTTCTACCGGGAAAGCCAAATATCTATAACTGCATCTTCTCACTTCTCTCTTTTCTTCAATGATTATATTCCAGACCTCTCGTTCGTCAGGAGTACGCTACGCCTCAATTAGAAGAAAAAGTTCGGCAGTAGTAGATGAAAGGCAATGGACGCTCAAAACGTATGCCAATTTCCATTGAATAATTGAAAATGCAGATAAAATGGCACTAGAACAATGCTATGCTTGAACGTTAAATCATTGTATTTCAATTTTCCACAGTAAGTTTTGGGGTTCTTGAGACAGGAAGCACTATTGATAGAGTAAGAGCGGGGAATGAAAGCGGAAATAATATTGATTGGTTCCCAGGGTAATACTTTCGTGTCCTTAATTGAGTTGTTCAAAGCGAATGAACAATGTTTCAAAAAAATTCCAAACCATAGGAGCTTGCCCCTCTAACAAGTAGAAGCGAGGTCTGCTTTTGGTTGAACAAGCGTACAACAAGGAATCACGTCTACAAATTTGATGCAGGAATAATACAGTGACAGTATGACATATTCAAGTAGGCAACGGGAAGATTTCCCTTCATGCGCCATTCACGAAACTAATGGCAAAATGCCCTGGACCAAGCGCAAATGGAATGCAAACGCCCTGAAGGTGTGACGCCACGGTATCAGTACAGGACAAATCGAACCAAGACCTAAAGACCAGATACGAGTTCCGAGATTGAGGCGATGTGCAACATTTCAAACATCGCATTTCGAGGCGTACACTATCTGCAAAAAACACCAAGCAACGATGACTGAAGCACTAATAACTCCCAGTGAAATCGAACGAGTCTTACATAGGGAGGCCTACCCCTACCAGCTCATCAGGAGAATGCGATTACTTAGGCTTGCACACTAGATAGTATTTGAAGAGTTTTGGGTTGGAACTCTTGAAAAGATCAGTATGAGCAGGAGTAAAGACCGTGAGATCGTCAAGCCTGGAGAAGTACCATCTGCAGCAGCTTGGAGTCCGGGGAACCATTTGCCTTGCGTTGAGCAATGAAATCAACCTATGAAGCTCGCATTCACTCGTTTTGCTTAATTATCCCAGTAGACATTGTCCAAAAACAGCACATACAAAATCAGCCATTTCAGCGAGGATTCCAGAAACATCCGCCAGTGGGCGCTCATTACAGTAAATCTGAGAATGACGCAATTATTCAAAGCCAGAAGGTCTTAAGATTCTATCGTTCACCTGTGCCAACTTTGCAAAAACGATAGGGAAGGATTGGAGGACAAACTTCGTCTGATTTGAGGTTGCCCCGGTTGCCCCGATTGCAGGTGTCTTATCATTATAAAGCGAATTGGAATCCTTCCTCCAAACTTTGTCTCAACTTTCCCTACAGATTCAAAAATCACCAGTCTTGTGGAATTTTACTTGAAATGCCCTAAACTTGAACGTGCTTGCTATTGTGAAGCACGTGCACGATGACCCCATTCCAGCATGTTTTATGAACTAATGACATACCCTTCACAGGAAACTACGACCATTCTTACGAGCTGCATTATTTATCAATATCATGGTACTTCTAAGCCTTGTGTTTTTCTGGATCTTCTACGCAGTGGGAAAGAAAAGCGAAGTCAGTTTCCATGGCTGTTTTTCATCGATGTGCGAAGATTTGAAATCAGAATGTTTGCAACACAATGAATGATTGAAGGTGCAGTTTACTGAAAATGGTTACCGGAATTTCTCCGTGGAATGAATCTGTGTTGACCAAGTATGGCGGAAGGGCGCTGCAGGGTCAAAAAATATCCTAGGTAGGGCTTAATAGTGGCCCCAAAGCCGGCTTAGCCTACGTCCATACCCAAAAGCGGATAAGTTTTCACAACGTTGTAGAGGCTTTAGAGGCTGCATCATCCTCATCGGGACGCAAATGCGCATACAGGCGGCTTACCTACTGTAGCCAGCTCTACGCAATGGTACATACATTTGGTTAGCTTGTCCAAGTACCCCTTCCGTGTAACATTTGTCGTCCAGTTATCGTCCAACCCCGTAACTCTTTTGCCTTGTACTTTTCTGAATATGCTGAATGTCGCGTTTTCTTCGACACTTTTGCACTACTCTAGCCTACCACTTTCACCACCTATCTGTCTAAAACTGAATAACTTGAAATCATCGCGAACTGTGCATTCAAGGACACAGAACTCAAAACAAAGGTCACATAATAAATATTTAAGCACATATCATTGTCAATAGTATCAGGAGCACAAACTTATGTCGTGGTGCTTTCACCGATAATATAAAATAATATTGCTTTACAGCATCTGGAGTTCAAAATTCGTAAAACGCCACACACCATCGGCTTCGATAACGTTTCTGTAGTCACGAATTCCGACAATTGTAATGAAGTGGCAAGGTAAAAGTCATCAATGACTCTGGTCTGCCAACCACTACGCTTGTAATTTTGCTAAGAAATATTCCAATCTTATCAATTTTAATATCAAAACTCAAAGCAACGTAGCACACTGGTTGACTTTTGCTTCATCAAAGTCAGGCATCAACCTGATCTTCACCTCTGAATAGTTTAAGACATTGTAGTGACGCTGTTAACTTCTTTAGGGTTCTCCTATCTCAAGGCTTATCGATGTTCGCTATGGCATTTTCCATGCAAGTCTGCTTGATGGCATATGAATTTCACCGAAGCGGCTTGGGCGGCTCCTCAGCCTACGTGCACTTGGAGTACGCCATTATTCGACATTGACTATAGTCATATAGTAATACAGAAATGGATTATATTATTGGAATTCCTATAGACCCAATTAACTCCGTACCGTGATTCCAGTAAACTTTGCTACACGCTGGGACCGCTTTTACAAATAATTTACTAACATTGAGTAATTCCTGGACGCAACTGCTTCCGTGAGGCCAACTATTCTGGGCATGGCTAATAATGCCAAAAAATTTCTCTGTCAAGTGCGGTGCGCGGAATTGACATAGAAGAAGCAGCTAACCACATTAGATTCTGATCACTCGAAGATCACATCACCTTCAATCGTAGCCAACTACTAATTTGATTTGTTTAAATGTCAAGCTTGAGAGTTTCAACAACGCATCTTTGCTTTTTGGCTGACCGCAGCTCACATACTTAACAGTATTTTAGAAATTAGGTGCAGGGAATTATGCAACCCTCCTTCGTATTTTGAAGTTACTGGCAAAGTGTCAAGAAACCGTATTAAAGGCACAGTTCACGATAATTCCCTTTTGCTGGCTCGCGAGGCTTTCCCCCCCTCCCCTCCCTCTCGTCAGGGGAGCCTTGAAACGATACAGATTGCAAATTCTCGCTCTAGGACCCACACACAATCCGCTGATTGCCGGGTAATGAGGTGAAGATTTCCTCCTATTCTTTTGTTCTCCGAATTTTTTTGCTGTTGCGATTCCTAATTTGATTTTCTACTTCAAGAGGCTGAAAAGGTGGGCTATTCATGCTGTTACTAGGGTTTTTTTGTTAGCTTTGCTTATGATTGAACGAATTTTTGCCTACGATAGTCAGTTATTCGCTCCAGGACAAACACGTACGCTTTGACACCCATTGCATAGCTCGTTCAAACGCCCCATTCTTTTTCATTTTCTGGTGCCACCCTCGTTCAGCCTCTTTTCAAGATTTTTCGAAGCCTTCTTCCTGTGTAGAAACACCTACTCACGCAGTTACTTCGCCTTCATCGCACTACCTTTCATCTTATCTTCCATTTTTCGTCATATTCTGGATTACCCAAAATTATCGTGAACTGGGACTTGAAAGAAAGGCCTTTGTAATGACGAAGTCGTGAACTGGGACTTGAAAGAAAGGCCTTTGTAATGACGAAGTAAACAACTTTTCAGAAGGTGGGAGTTCAAAGCGCCCTTGAGAGAGGAAAAAAGTAATTAAAGGTCTTTATTTCCAGGAACGTATAATATTGTATACAATTAATCCTAGACATTCAGCGCAATTGAAGGGAATTGTACGACAATGAGCACATTCGGTGCCTATGATAGGCTTAAAATGGAAGATCCGGAATTCTTTGAGCGGAAGGGCAAGGACAAACTAACCGAAAGCCAAAGGAATCAAGCACAATGTTTCGACTTCAGATTCGGTAAAACCATATGCTTGTATTTCACAACTTTAAAAAAAGATTATCCGAGCAATCATCGGAATAGATTCTCCTGCTGGTATCAAGCAATAATACACTCGATGGGTTGATTTTGTCCCCACTTTTGATTCGCGCAGCATCCCTATTGGAAATTGTTCGAATGAAATGGCAGGTGCAGTAGATGCTCATTAATTAACTCAAAGCTCGTTTCCATAACAAAACAAGTCTTCGGGAGTTGATCTATCCCGTTTGAAGTATTAGCCCCCGCGATCGATTTCCATCCAGATAGTGATGCCGTAATGGAGCTTGTATGGCTTAAACAATGGCTTGACAGCCGATATACAAGTCAGAGCCTTTATCCCCCAGACGCACCGACTGACCGATCGCGGGAAGTGAAGGTCTGGTTGGCCCAAGCGCATACTGATCCAGCATCCGATCCCGTGATCACGCACGCGTAATTCGCGCCACTTACCAGTATACCGCTTCCGCTCTGAGCAAACCAACCTCAGCAGGTCTAACTCAAGTTGACTGCAATATTGGCATCCAGATCAAAGTGGACGTAATCCTCAGAAGAGCGAAAGTTCTCGAAGCGGGCAAGGCGAATCATGGCATAGTTCTGATGAATGAGCACATATGAATTCAGTAGGATGGTTTTATCGCTTTTACCGGGGATATAGACAACTGTATCGATGAGGAGCAGTAATAGCAATTGCTACAGCCATTTATAGTCAGAGTGATCAAAATTGTGTCTGACTAGTCGCCGGTCAATATGTGCTCCTTAAAATAATCACCTAAAGATGGACCGGTAGGAAAAGACAATTGCTCAAAACGTAATTTGAATGACTATCTTTAATATGAGCGAAACTCGAACAGGATTTGACGAATTGGAAGTTTAAGTTACGGAAGGAGAATATATCTATCACAGATATTTGCTACTCAGTGGAATTAAAAAAGTCCTCTCTTAATTTTGCTATATGCCTATTTAATCAGTCTTTCCACCAAGGAGGTCAACTTCCGCCGATAAATTTGCGACATACTCTTTCTACCATTTCAAAAAGCATCCTGCACTGTGTAGGTGTTAATAGAGATTGCACACACCAAAGTACGCTATAAAGAACCCTTTTTCATTTATGATGAAGATTAAACCACTCCATCTTCCGAATGCTTTGAACTTTGTTCTTGGGCTCAGCAAACGACTATGAAATTCGCAAAACTTGGTGAAGAAAGCCGTGTTCTATTGACCACAACCCTTACCGCAGTCTATTGAGAAATTATTGTAATCGACGCTGCCACCAATTTTCGGATCGTTGTTAGATTTCTATTGTTCATTGATTAATTATTTTGATGGGAAAGATTATTTCATTTTTTGCAGCATCAATGTCATTCTGTAAGGCACATAATGAAATGTTGAGGCCAAAAATTCGAACACGTGGTAGAAGTACCTGGAGAAATAGTAACTCTCAGAAGTTTATTCAAGAAGATTCCTGCAGAAGAGCGTGAACCGACAGTCAGATTAATAAAAGTACGTTATCCATAGGACATACAATCGCCCAATTCAGAACACGCTATACCACTTGAGCTAACTCGCTAAGTATTTTTATTGACGTGCAGGTGTGTGTGTTTATGTGTAAGCCACATAAGTTGAAGAATGCAAACTTTACCCTATCGCCCCTTGTATGTGAAGCTGTGTATGTATGGGTGTTAGTATTTGTGTGTCTCGGTACACTCACCGACACAGACACACACTGAACATATGCAGACACAGTCTCACATCACAACAAGGGTGTTTGGCGAGGATCTCTTAACTCCTATTCCTAGCACCTACAGATTACAAAGTTCGAATGACGATGGTGGCTGATAGGAAGTGATAAATTCTATAAGGACCGATAGGGTACATACATAGAAGGTCAAAACCACTCCGGCGCATTACGCCTTTCGGCCCAAAACCTAAGCTGATACAAGCTGACCTAAGCATGTGATACAATGTTTCACTTCACCTTTTTCCTCTTCAACTTTATAATACAATGTATTTCAAAGTTATGGTGTTACAGCTATACGTTTTTCGAGTTCTAACAAAATCTTCTTCGCTCCGAGTTGTAGAGGAAGCTAACAAAGATGAGCTAGAACTGCTCGGTACAACACGTTTGTGAGTCTGCTTCTTCAGAAATTTCGCACATACATTGTATACTTTTTTGTAATCGCTTGAATAACTTTCTGCATAGCTCGGTGAGCTTAACTGATCTAAGTACCTTTCTACACTGGAAAACATAAAGTTATTTAGCTATAACAAAAAGAGAAAATACGACGAGGATAAGCGTCCATGTTCGACTCTCGACAAATCTTGGCATAGCTTTGCATTTATTTTATAAGATTTTAATAAAACCTGCTGCCAACATGGTAAATAAATTCTTATCAACTTTAGAAGTTATTCTTAAGTTGATAAGAATTTATTTACCATCTTGGCAGCAGGTTTTATTAAAATCTTATAAAATAAATACGACGAGGATACCTGTTTTCCCTTTATTTTTAAACTAAGTTGGTTTTTACTTTTTCTTTTGATGAAGGTTACTTGAGATTTCCTAGGATTTTGCTGGAAAATGCTCAGTAACTTACATAATTTTTTTTACTGACATGTCACAGAATGTAATGATTTTTTGTAGGAGTAATAAAGCCTTAACAGCGTTACAGAGAATTGAGAATGGATTCTTAGTGATTCCCTCCTTTGCAACAGTCTTATTGGGAATCAATAAAAGAACTACATATTAAGTGCAACCCAAGTTTCGGACAAACGGGGACTGGGATTTTTATAGCGAGTTTCCCAGTTCTTGATTATTACCTATTTCTCAATATGGCACCTACTTGTTCCTGTTACACTTTTACATTCATAGTTTCGCCATTCGTCATCATTCCTGATATAAACACATTTGTGGACTCAATGCAGTACATTCCTGATTTAGATTATAGTATAACACTAAAAATAACATTAACAGCAATACTGATAACAAAAATCATGATAATAGTCATTACTAATATACATTTTCAGTGCGAACGATAATGCGGAAGTTCGTCGAATCCTAGAAGAAGCACTTGTTGCAGAGCTGGACTGGAAAGTTGTAAGTGTGTAATTGGCCATTCAAGTCATTTTGAAACGTGAAACTTGAACTTGACATCAGAACGAATTATTACTTTAACTCGCTTCTATTTCTAACAATTCGGAATATCAAGATACCATGTCCACTCCTCTCCACAGCGATCAGAGCGTTTCAAAACCATATATTGAGCTCAAATTAGATTCTGCCCTGATTCCAGATCATATTTTTCTTGAGGGCGGAGCTGGTGCGAAAATTGCAAATATAGTCTGGATCTCCCTTTTTATACAGCAACACAGTCTTGCTAGTTTTCCACGAAGTGGGCATTCCGACAAATGCCATGACATTGCGTGAAGAGCCTAGCCAGAATTCTGACGATAACTGGTGGAAGATTCTTCAAATGTTCTGGTTTGATCCTATCGGGGCCGGGCACCGCACAATTCTTCAACGTGATTGCATGTCGAATTTCGGAAGGGAGTGCTGAAGGAGCGATGTATTCGTCTTGCCTGAAATGACGGGTAGGCAGGTAGACGTGGTTGTAGAAGAGATGCGAGTAGAAGTCGTAAATGACCTTCTCCATTGCCCTTCGAGATGCAGTAACTGTCCCGTCAGGAGGACGAAAGGAAGTCATATTGGTCTTGTAATCAGCAAAGTTCCGTTGGGTTTGCGAATGTAGTCCCATCCTCGGCGGCTTGCTGCTCTTCTCTCTTTCAGATCTTCCTTTTTCGCTTCTCTGCATGACTTTGCAAGTTCGGACGTTAGCTGGTTAGTGCTTGCAGCTCGCGCATTCCACGCTGCCGTATCAACTTGAGATTATTCGGATAGAGACCTTAATCGGCTTCTTTGAGGCTCTGCTTTCCTAGCGCTATCGTGAAGATGTTTGATTGTTCCGTTTGTGTTCCTCATCGCTTTTGTCACCAACGGAATCTTTTCACAAACTTGCCAGTGAAGCGAAGTGATCCCAGTTGACAACAGTCTTGGGGCTTCCTTTCTTCAACTTCCCTACTCCCTCTCTACGCATTAAGAAGCAGAATCCTAGCGCGGAGAGGAACATACTCCGATCCCGTATAAAACTTCGGAACAACAGCGCCGTCAGTCTGGCAAAATCTCCGATTGCAGATGTTGTGGTACAATCCACCGTGGAACTGCCCAGCAGGTGACTCTCATGTCCATCGCAAAGAGAGGGGTTCTGGAACTGCGAGTTACTATGGATGAGTGGGTCGACACAATAATCTCGAAGAGCCTTTCACTCTGTGCTCTCCATTCCATTCCATGAGCGCTGATGTGGAGCTCATCAGCCGTTCTTCTAGGCAATCTTGGCGTTGAAATCCCGACGCTGGCCTTGAGGAAAGTATGGTCTTCTCTGTAAAGCCTCTCCAGATCCACATAGAGCGCTTCCAGCTCTTCGTCGTACCTTGATCATGATGCATAAACAACGAAGGTTGTTAGAGCTGGGGCTGGGCCATGTTTTCTCATTTGCAAACGTCCGATTCGAGTTGTCAAGCTTTCGTACGAATGGATATTCATAACTAAGTGCGTGTTGACGAGGACAACTACACCGCCGAGGCCTCTAGTGCCGCATGTTTCTAAAAACAGTTTTTCGGGCGATGCCTTCTCGTCTCGGTCAGTCCGATGACGTCGTACTTGGCCTTCCTAGCTTCCATCAGTTCTCCCATACACGGCTCCTATGCGCTTGTACGTTGAGCCTGTCATGGCCCTGAGATTTTAGCACCCTCGTCCAAACTTCCTACCCCGTGGCCATATTGGGGGCTCCTTCAGGTTTAAGAGAATGAGGATTTTATTACTGTTTTTACTGTTTTGGCATAAGAATATCCACGTGTGCGGAGCCGTTAATCCAGAGCAATATGTTTGAAGCTTCACAGCTTAAAAGACAGTAGAATTCCTATGCACGTCAACTAACACTATGTGCTGCAGCATGCTACAATTTCTATTTGTTTTCCAGTCCTGCTTTCTAGGACTCAAAACTAATGCAAACTCGAAAGGTCATCTTTAATCAGGGACTATGAGGGGGACTCAAGTAGGTCAAGGTCTGAAAAATATGATGGCCATTCCTCTTTGCCAAGGAAGTCGACCAGCTGTCGGCAGCGCCATCCGCGGGCAAGCTTTGGCTCTGTGCGCTGCACTAGCGTCTTGCTGGAAGGATCACGAGCTCTTTCAGGGAACGTACTTGGATCAGTGTTTCATTACGTCCACTACGCTCTTTGAGTACCGGTCTTGGTCAGTTTTCACGCCTGCATCGACGAAACCACGAACGTCTTACCCTTGCCATTGACTACCTCAAAAAGCATAATTTTTCTGTTTCTATAGTAACCTTTTTGTGAGAGATTGTACGTTAGATGTTTCTATCCGGAACGGGAACGTGTTGGCTTTTTTGGCCAGAGAAAACGATGAAGGTTTGCCTGTCTTCACTGAAGTGGGTTTGCGGCTTTCTGCATTTTTTGGGCCCTGCGGTGCCTATTGAGATCGGAATTGAGGCGACATTTCTGTAGAAATGGCAATGAAGATTTGACAATCCGTTCCACCGACAACTTCGATGGTTCCTGCTCCTTCGTCGTCTTTTTTATGTGTCACCCAATATCATGATCGAGACGCAAATGAGCCATTTTGTTAGCCCTATCTCTGGGTCTCTGGGAGCGCTGGCCTTTCTACCCTCTCTTAGCTTGCCTTTGAAGAATCTTCTTCTCTGTTCGGTTTAATAGCTTCCTCTGCGGATATTATAGGAAGCACAAGCAGTTTCATAATGCCCCCCCCCCCCCCCGCCTCTCGCATGTCAATGATTCCGAGTGACATTGAATGGGCCTCCTACACCTGAGAGTTTCACTTCAGCAACCATGCATATTGCGAGAAAACCTTATGAAACTGTTTGATAGCGGATCAAATGAGTTCGACAGATTACTTCTACCTGACGTTTGCGAGAGGTTTCGGAGCATAAAGCCGACACTTGATGGTAAAGACAAAAGCATATGGCAACAGGTTGCCTCTCTTTCGGTAGGCAGATATTCCCCCGAGCGAGTTCTTGTCCTTAATCCAGAGTGCAGTTAGACGTAATGTATCGGGGCCTGCTGTGTGTATCTTGAAGGCACAGTTCACCATCACTTTAAGGTACACTTTTTAAGTAAAAAAAACCGAAGTAGGTTAGGAATAGTTCTTCGGTACCGAAGAAAGCGAGAAAATTCGACATTTTCGAGAAAAATAAGGCTTTGAGAAATAAGTTAGTAGGGGAAACAGAGGTTGCACGAGATCACCATGACGAAAACATCATGAAAGGGGAGGGGAGGGGAGAGGGGGTATTCGGACGAGATTTTAGTTGTTGCAACTTAGCAAAGAGCTCACCACATCAAGCCAGAGCTGCACAGAACTGCCATTCACTGTTGCTACGGGTCGTAAGAAGTTGCTTGAGTCATGGATCTCCTACATGGGTATCAGTATTAACTGTGAATCAGGGGATGTAGCATATGTCACGAACTCGGATGCCGAATTATGAATAGACGCAAAGTCAATTAAATGAAGAACTGCACTGCAACACCAACGCATTTTTATTTTGGTCCAACCCAGAACATTCATTTGATCCTTTCCCACGTCTCATTCGATCCTTTCCATGTTTATGACCACTCTTGAAGCTGTTGTGATGTTTTTCGATACGACCGCTACTTCTCTGAAACTATTCCAGAAAGAGTTTCGGGCAGGCGGCCAATTCTCTTTTCAAAAGGCCTCGGACAAATTGATGAAAACGGGTTGAAAACGTCATTCAGTAGGTCATCCTACCAAAACTGTCCACTGGCCGGGCGGAAGGACAACCATAACAGATTAGAACAGTCGCGTGATTTAAGCTGATCGTGTGTAATATTACTTCCAAACCGATTGACAAAACCAGGTGGATTAGCATATCAAAGCGTGCAAACTAATCTTTGTTTGCAATATGAAGTCTAATCAAAGCATTCGAGTATCTATACGCAGATCTATTAAAAAATTTTCGGCAACGGAATTCATTTGCTTTTCAGTTGTACAAAATGATGATGATGCGCGTGAAACCCCGGTGTGAAATGAAACTACCTACCAGTAAGTTTTTTTTTTCGAAAACCACTCCCAAAACAGGTCACCATATCTCACTGGATCTTATTCTGCAAGCCTATGAGCAGCAATTCCCCTGACTCTGATTCCCTATTTAAGTGGTTCTACGGATCTCCTTCCACTGAGGTTTCTCTCTCACTGAACTACCCCAGCCGGTTAGCGAAGAGGCTACGTAGGGCGTCCTCAGGTGGCGGATAGGGGAGTTAATCGTCGACCAAAAGTCGCGAATACTTGCCTAGACGCAGAGGATTCAGGGGATGGACTCCCTGATTTTAGTGTGCTGGTCGATATACCTTCTGTTTCTAGAAGGCGTATCCACGCATACATGCTGCCTATCGACTCAGCCAAGAGCTTGCATTCGAGTGACTGGAAGTATCTAGAAGGCGATTAGGGGCCGCCTTTGAAAACGAAGCTCTTCTTCCTTTTCGGGATGAAGTGACAAGTCCTCAAGGTCAACCCAGCCTCCACGTTAGAGCCTGGCAAGCTACACGTTGGATATTCAGTCGCCAAAAACAGTAATAAAAATGGGCCTTATCCATCTGAAGCTGAGGGGCCCCCGATACGGCAGAGTTGGGAGTCAGTACCGGTCGGCAGAGGCTGCTAAAATCTTGGGGCCCAAACAGGCTGCCTAAACAGAGGGAAGGACTAAGATGGCGATCTGTAGTTCCAAGGAGCGGACGCTTGCATATGAACCATGTATAGAAGACCTGACGATACAGCGAGGAAGATCAAGTACGGCGTCATCGGACTGAGTGAGATAAGAGGGCATCGCCAGCTGCACGCTGTATTTGAGATTGGAGAAGAATTATTTCTAGGAACATGCGGCAGTAGAGGCCTCGGCGGTGTAGTTGTCCTCGTCAACACGCACTTAGTTATGAATATCAATTCGTACGAAAGCTTAACAACTCGAACCGGACGTTTGCAAACGAGAAAACATGGCTCAACCCCAGCTCTAACAACCTTCGTTGTTTATGCATCAACGTCGAGGTACGACGAAGAGCTGGAAGCGCTCTATGTGGATCTGGAGAGGCTTTACAGAGAAGACCATACTTTCTTCAAGGCCGAGAATGGGAGAACATTTGCAAAACCCGACGGAACTTCGCCGACTACAAGACCAATATGACTTCCCTTCGTCCTCCTGAGAGAGACGGAACAGTTACTGCATCTCGAAGGGCAATGGAGAAGGTCATCTACAACTTCTACTCACATCTCTTCGACAGCCACGTCTACCTGCCTACCCGCCATTTCAGGCAAGACGAATACATCGCTCCTTCAGTACTTCCTTCCGAAATTCGACATGCAATCACGATGAAGAATTGTGCGGTGTCCGGCTCCGATAGGATCAAACCGGAACATCTGAAAAGTCTTCCACCAGTTATCGTCAGAACTTGTCACTTGTCGTAATGCCGGAAACTAGCAAGACTGTGTTACTGTATAAAAGGGGAGATCCAGAAGATATTTGCAATTTTTGCCCAACCTACCTGCTGTCTGTAATCTACAAGCTTTTCACTCGCTTCATCCTGAACAGGACTGGCAGAATATTAGATGAAGGACAGCCATGCGAGCAAGCACGGTTTCGGAGAGGGTTCAGTACAATCGACAATATCCACACTCTTACAAAACTCAATGAAGTATCACGGGAGTACGAAATGCCGTTATGTCTTACTTTATCGATTTAAAGAAAGCCATCGATACCGTTGAGTCGGAAGCGGTAATTGAAGCCCTGGGCAACCAGGGTGTTCCCACTCGATATATAAGGATGCTCGAGAGCAGGCCGAACAAATGTTGGCCGAATTCGAAAACGCTTGTGGAATGATCGGATTGTGACTGAACCTGACGAGGACGAAGTTCATGCGAAACGGATTGGTACCTGATGCTTTTTGAGCATTTAAGAACATAGAACAGAAAAAGGAGTAGTGAAAAAGGCGAGGAACATCCGGCTCTGCGCTCACCTTTCCGATACTGCTTTGCCACACGCCTCAGAGAATTGTATTCTGCGAAAGCAGGATTGGCATGCAGTTAGCGTCATCCAACGCGCTGTGGAGAAGGTGGTGCTCGGAATTCCTCTATACACACAAGTGCAGAAGGGAATCCGGAGTTTCGAGCTCCGTCATCCAACAGTGATCAGGGATGCCGTTGATTACGCCAAGAAATCGAAGATCAGGTGGGCTGGACACGTTATGCGATAGTGATGACCGCTGGACCAGGGCCGTCACGAACTGGATCCTTCGGAACATCAAAGGAATACCAGCACGGCTGCCGGCTCGATGGTTAGGTTTCTTGCTGAAGGCTCTGAAGAAAGGGTGATATGCCCCGTGTCCCTCGAGCAAGTACGACACTGGAGTACTTTGGCTCGCGACAGGGACGAAAGGAGCGTTAGTGACGCCCGCTAGAGGAAATCGATGATCAACGAGACGACAGGAGATACAGGTGATTTAAGTGGTTGTCCATTTGAAACAGTCGCAGGTTTTATTGTTCGGATAAACTTGACCAACCGTAGCAAACGAAAAAATGTAAATAAACGCGCTTTCGTGTTCCCCTTTTTCCTTTCGCTTCGTTCTATACCCGATTTTTTGTACTGCAAAAAACAACTGAATTCGATCGAATGAGACCTATCGAGAATAATAGCGAAATAGAAAGTGGGGAATGTTTCCTCCCTCCTGCCAAGTCATATGATTCGACACCTAAGGGCTTATTATGGTTGTGGCTTAATAAGTCCTCAAGAGATTGAGGAAAACATCGACAGTTTTTGTTTATTCTCTTAACAGACGATGTGGTATTTGGGAATTGTATCTTCACAGCTCCAAGCTTCAAGTTGTTAGATAAGCATCTCTCACAATGTTGTCAAGGCTTTTCACAAATTCATTTTGTTACGGCCCCCTGACACCTTTCCTTTTGTTTTCACTCACAGTGAACAGTTTTCACTACTTCTCATGTGAAAATCAACTCCTTAGAAAAATAAAAAGAAGAAATTCGATCAAAAGACTGAAGGCGAGAAAGGTAAGTACGAAAAACTATGAAGCTGATTGTCGGGTTGAAGATTTCAGGAGTTTTCATAAATAACCGAAAAAGGTCAACCGCACAACATAACCGGTCTACAGGCACAACTAGTGGCGATATGGGCATGGTTCAGTATCCAAAGAATAAGAACTCACCAATTAGTGCCGAACGCCAATATGAAGGAATTTCGTCCCTTCGTTTTCAGCATTTCTCACGAGCTTCATGGGTGGGCCCCAGAATGTCAGTTTACAACCAGTGCACCGCAAAGCCGTCTCTAGAAGGCTATACTACTACCAGTTGGGCTACGCACGCTAATGCGTGCACCACATGCCCACCATTATCAGATGTCGTTATCACTAGACCATGCCCACCATTATCAGATGTCGTTATCACTTGACCTTCTTTCCTCCACGGGTAGATCCCAAGCTATTGGCGATCGGATGAGCTTTGACGTATATGATATCGAAACATGAAGTAACCTCGATCTTCCACCCAGCTACAAACCTGGGTAGCGGTCGTAATCTATATTCTGGTCGTAATCAT